TCCATCCATACCAAATTTGCTAATCAATAACATTTCTTTCTCTGCATATGCTTGAAGGTGGTCAATTGATTGGGATTCCAGTATTCTATTCGCGGTGTGATCCAAAAGAGATTGTAGTTTGACTGAAGCAGACTTTTCAGTTACCTCGACATCCTCTGGATAACATTTCTTTTTCTCGTCTAAAAGTTTTCTGTAACTAGGAAAGTAATTGTATTTTTCTTGATATTCTTTTAACTTTTGCCACTGATAAACGCTGAGTTTCATGTCGATGAATAAAGCCAAAGCTGCCTTTATATCCCCTTCTTCCTCTTTTCTCAATTCTTCAGCTGTGTATTCAAATAAATCTGCAGAAACCTCTTCTGTTTCCATTCGTTCCATACTTCTTTTTTTCTTTGTTTTCTCACAGCATAATGTAAATTCCTTAGGTTTGGGTTTTCGTTTTGAAGTAGTTGGATGATTTCCAACTTCAATATAGCCCTCTTGAATCCAGTCCGTAGCTCCAAGCCGTTCATACATCCTGTTAAACTCTTGAAGACGTGCATTGTACTTATTGACGAACTTTTTCAATTTATCTTTTATGTTTGGAAATATTAACTACTTTTCACTCCATGCTCATGATCAAGCAATTCCAAAACATCCTCCACGTTTCTAGTTTTACTCTGTTGCATCAACTCATGCAGTTCCTGATAGAAAATTTTAATGTATTCCATAATTCTTGACTGTCAAAATTATAATGGAAACCACAGTGAACTTCATTGCACTTTTATATGCATAGTGGAGAAAGATAACGACGTAAAGGCCGCATTCCACCATAAAAACAAAGGGGGAGAGAGAGAGCGAAAGAGACAGAATAAAATAGTAAAACAACAGAGAGAGAGAAAGGTACCACCACAAGCTAAAAGAAAACACTATATAAAGACGGACACACACGCGGACTAATTAGTGACAAAAAAGAAAACACTGAAGATGGCGATTAGCCGAAACCGGTCTGAAAATAATAAAAATTTGACGTGGGATGACGGAAAGTCACCCGAAAACCAATATGATTAAATTATTCAATAAGTGATTCCGAGAATTTCCGTTCTATTTCTATGGAATAAATACTGAGAGTGATATACTAAAATCGCTATAACTCCCAGGAGGGCAGGTATGGGCAGCTGATTTTTTCACAGTTCGTTGAAAACAAATTATGTAACATTTCTGTAGTGGTTTGGAACTGGGACTCTCTGGGACTTTTTAGATATTGCCTACCTAACCCAAATTTTAAGGGAAAATGGACCTTTAGTCGGGTTTTCGCTCTAAAAAAGGTGCATATGAAAATATCTCAAACAACATTCCTTTTTTTACAGAAGATACTTGTCCGAAGGCAGATTTTTTTCTCCGAATCAAAATATCTGTCACCAAAATCAAATGAGATCATTTTGAATACAGCCCTGAAATCCCCTCTTTTCGTGAAAATTTTGTATATTTGACTTCTAAAATCAATTAGAAATCAACGGGCCAACATAAAAATAAGCTTTATGTGTTTTTTGTTTACTTGGAATGTCTGTGACAAAATTGCATCATTAAAAACACTGAAAAAAATAATCGGAAAAAAGTTACTTTTCCACTAGCCGCAACACAGTGCGTCGGTTGTTTCGAAAAACGCCTGCTAAATAAAGCAGTCCTAGTAGAGCCTTCATTTAGTTCTGAATTATTTGTAAGTTCATAATGGGCAGACTTCTTCCATTCACGTGTTTTTTCTTCATTTCGTTGATTTGTCCATCTTACCATATCATCTAACATTTTTTCGTTGAAAAACAGTCAATAGGACTTTTTTTTTGTCTTTAGCAAATCTTTTGACTCCTGGCAGTTGAATGATAATATTTTCAGCTCGTGTTCTTACGTTTCAGTTTGAACAATTTTTTCTCCATTTGGTACCATTTTTACTCAAATAATACTTCTGTTTCTCTTCCATATCTTCCGACTTACTTTCTCCATCATCCACTTGGTTGTCTGGCTCACCTTCAAATTCACTTGCGTCCTGTTCAAAATCTACATTATCACTATTTATGCTGACGTTATCAATATCCTTTTCACCATCTGATTCAATGACCTCTTCATCATCGGTTTCCATCTCATTCCAGAGAGCCTGCAGGCGGCGCATCTCTTTCTCATAATCTCCCATGCTTAACCTAACGATTTGAAAAGGTAAAAAATATTATAAAAGCGTTGATTTTAAAACTCACCTCAAAACCAACTTAGACTTCACTTGAAAATAATTTGAAAATAGTACAAATATTGTTACAGAACTAGACACGTCGGGTTTGAGAAATCGGAGTAAACTTAACTATCCCACATAATCGCTTGTAACAAACTGCTAACTAATTCGCTTCGCACGCGGTAAAAGGATGCTATTAATTACATTGGACCTCAAGCAGTTGTGGTTCGTTGAAGCCCCTCCGTGTTGTGAGAACAGTTTACTGACAGCTTGGTTGAATTACTCTTGAATATGAAATAATACCCACAAATAAAGAACAGTTCGATTCTTACTACGTGTTGTTTTATTCAATAGACAGCAGGTAGCAACGTGTTGTAACTGAAGTCAAAACTGAACTAACTACAATACATAAGTCATAGTATTTATATATAAGAATACTATGCGTAATAGTTGTCATCAAAGAATATTCTGGAATAAAATATTAATAAGCAATGATGAATAACATGATGAATTATATCTGAGCACACTCATGCAGATGAAGTTTGATTTAAAAGCATAGTCATCAATAAACAAAGATAACGTTCGGAATAAAAGATAACGTTCGGAATAAAAGGTGTCAGCATTTTCCGGGTTTTATCTCTGTGGATAGTCCAGGGAAAGTGGGCAAAAATGTAATTCCTCCCCTCTTAAGTGGAAGACTAGGGTTGGTCTGGTTGGCTGGTCTGATCATCCATCTCTAAATCGTCTTTGGAAGTTTTATATAATTGTCTTCGTCGAAGATGCTGGATCAAGTTGTAGGGATAACATGTTTTATAGTAACATGTCACTAGGATGTAGATGGCAAGGCTGACCATTAAACAAATGATAACAATCATCCATACAGGTAATGATTGTCCAGGCATTGGCACTTGGGGTAAATAACTTCATGATGAGTGTTCATCTTGGAAGTCATGATGTTGGATTTCTTCTAAGTCCATTTTATTAAGTTTCACTTTGATAGTCCTTGTAGAGAGAGTGGAGATATCAAGTGATGGAAGTTTTATCACTGTCATTGGGTATAATTCGTCGTTTCCATGAATGAATTTTTCTTGATCCACAAGAAAATAACATGATTTTGGAGTTGTAATGAGGTAGCTTCCAGGTTGTACCTCAAGCCTTTGAAATCAGAAGCTTTTTTACAGACTTTCTAAATTTAGTGGTACATGCCTTTGATCTCAATTGGCAAATGGTTAAACATTTTCTTTCCATTATAGGTATATGAAAGACCTCTCAATTTTTGATGATATCGGTAAACCTATATTGAGCTTATTACTATATTGAGCTTATTACTATAAGTATTTCGGGATTCCTTTGTACTGTAATACTACATCTTTGATAATCAAGTAATATTGATTTTTTTCAGTTAATTCATACATTTGGACAGGAAATATTTGTTTAATATTTGAATTTTAATAAAAAGGAATGAACTATTTTTGAATCGCTTCTTTTTTTTCATACAAAGTTGATAAACAAATTGGTACAACTGGCCCATTAGCTCAGTTGGTTAGAGCGTCGTGCTAATAACGCGAAGGTCGCGGGTTCGATCCCCTCATGGGCCAATCTTTTTTTCCATCCTAGAGTATGGTTATGATGTATATTTTTTTAAATAATATTGACATAATATAAAACAGAACAGAATGAAAACTCTATTTTTTTCAATTTTTCGATTTTATTCATATAAACAAAAAATGTGGTAAACTTCCGAAGAAGGAAAAGAAAACAACAATAACCATAAAGATACAGATAGCACACATAGAAGGTTCTGTCATATTCACAATGAATGTAAAAGTTCTTCCGAAACAACTACCTATGAACATTGAATTACACGGAAATAACTTTTTTCCATTCATTTTGGAATTGATATGGAATTGAAACAGATATTTCAATATGATATATTAAATATTGATATGAAATGTCACTCAGATGAAACACGGACCTCAAAAGTGTACTTCGAAGTTTCGGAACGAGATACTTGTCTTAACACCTTATCAGCACTGTTTCGAAAAACATTTACAAGACGAAGCACTCATTTTTTCATAACATTATGACTTTATGTCAGCGGAAGAGATGAATCTGCTCTTGCCATAATGACAGCACCTATACACATTTATACGATTAGTTGATTCCAGCCATAGGAATTTTATGTATTTCAATGATAAATTGATTAAATTTGCCCACAAATCATACTGAAATTGCGACCTATTCAACTTGTCGTTAAAATCTACTCCTCTTAAATGTTTTCTAGATATTCGAAAACAGAAAAAAATCTAAATTTTAAATAAAAACATATTTGCTTTTCATGAATCCGCAATTGCTGAGATTGATAAAATAAGTATTTAATTTAATAAAGTCATTGAACTGGCATTTTATCAGTTTCAAATCTGGCAGCAATTTATAATTATAATAGCTAAACGAGGTGATCGTCACTCTGTGAAAGCCGTAATGATCATTTCACTCCTGCAGCAACAAAGATAAGCTAGTGCATGGGTTATTTTTTAACAACATTGGAGACCTCCGCTCATCGAAGGGCCTGACCTTCGCATTCCTCAGGTCGAGGGTAGTGATGGGCATAATCGAATGATTCAGAGAATCGAATGATGAGTACTCGAAATCGAAATATCATTCGAATGAAATCACTCATTCATTCTTCACTCACCGATTTAAGCGGAGAACACACATACGCGATCGCGATCACGATAGCAATGGCGATAGCGATCGCGTTGGAAAGTAAACACATACATGCGATAACGACCTACAATCGACGCATTAATAAAAATGTGTGACTTGGAAGAAGAAGGCACTGCTTCTTGCAATATTAATGGATGAAGATGATAATAATAGACAACGGTAAACAAAAATTGATTAAATATTATGTAGGCTATTAATAAATAGTATTTAATGTATATTTTAGAAGGAAAAGGCGGAATATTTGGGTGCACGAAATTAACAAAAAACGTAAAGAAGAAGGCGAATTTCATATGTTATACCCTGAACTCCGGAAAGATGTAAATCGATTCTACACATATTTTAGAATGGACTGTGAAAGTTTTGATGAAATATTGAATCTTATCAGGAACGACATTACATTTAGAGAACCGATTGGGGCAACAGAACGACTAGCAGTCACATTGAGGTAATATAATAATTATTTCGTAATACTTTACTTTTTTATTCAGTTGAAAAGTATAATGTGATATAAAAAATATGTATGGATTTCACACGTTGGTATGGTGAAAATCTTCATACCACGTTGCAGCAGAAGAATTGTCATCAGTCTCACGTATATTTCGAGTTGTCATATGGCATAATATTCGATATATAAGATAAAGCAGTGGAACTGTTTGAAAAACATGTAACCGGTCGACTTTCTGTCTGAGTTTCCGCTTCTTGAGCCAGTTCTTCTTCCATTATTTTGGCTATATGGGATAGATTGCAGCCAATTTATATGCCAGAGCCCACAAAAGAGTTATGGGATAAATTAATTTTGGGCTATGAAAACTTGTGGCACTTTCCCAATTGTTTAGGAAGTATAGATGGAAAGCACGTGACCATCAAGTATCCAAAAAAAGCGGATCAAATTACTTTTGTTACTTAAAAAAGTTTTCAATTGTACTTATGGCAGTTGTTGACCACGAATACAAATTTACTTGTATAGATGTAGATGCATATGGTAAAAACAGTGATGGAGGTATTTTTGAGGCGTCAGCTATAGGAAGAAGATTTGAAAATGGCACATTTAATATTCCTCCAGATAGGCCTTTACCCGGCGAAAATGATGAAGTTCCGTGTGTTTTGATAGGCGTTGATAGGGTTCTAGTTTAATAATTATAGGGATTTTTATATTAACTTTCAATTCAGAAAAATTCATTAATTAACAAATTTATAATTAACAATGTACAACAATTGAGGTAATATGCTTCAGGTAATCATAATTGAAGAGGTACCACAGGTAGAGGTTTAGGTAATGGTAGTCTCAATTGTAGTTACCTGTAGTATATAAAAATATAAATATCATGATCAAAGCCTGAGGTGTAGTTTATGAAATTTTACTTTTGATCTGTTAATACAGATTACAGATATTTTCAAACAGGAACAACACTGATAAACAGTTGTGATAGTTTTTTACATCACACCTATTTATATTTTATTATCTGTAAAGGGAATGGCTTCCAACAAGAAATCAAGAGAAGAATGGAGGAAGGCCAAAGAGTTGGAAGAAGCTCGAAAGGCTGGAACAGCTCCAGCGGCCGTTGATGAAGAAGGGAAGGACATAAACCCCCACATACCCCATTATATATCCACTGCACCTTGGTATTATGGGAAAACTGGACCCACTTTGAAACATCAAAGGCCCCAAAAAGAGAAACAGAAAGAGTATTCAGGAATAGATGAGTGGTATACCAGAGGAGTTGACAGGGTGAGTATTTTCTTACTGATGATAGATTGCCAAGCGGTAGAAAGTTCAAAATCTTTTTTCATATAGAATTTATTAATTCACTTCAATTGAAGTGAAATGTTACCTAAATCTTGGTTATGTTTCCTCCAAAATCAGAGCTCAAAAACATTGGACCGCCTTGGCGAGCCTCGCAAGTAACTATGAGTGGTACTTTAATTTTTCTGATTCATGAGGGTATTACATTTTTCATTGAGAATTTTTTCTTCTTCATTAGAAATAACAGATATGTCGTCTGTATACAGTATAAAAAATGCTTCATCATAAATGTCTGGGAGTTCATTTATATGACGTGAAATAGTATAGGTCCTATCTATTCGATAATATATTATTCACATTCAGAAATTGTAGAGCCTCATCAAGGCCTCAATGGTCAATAATTTAGAAAGATGATGACTGTACTGTAATGTATAATTTTTTGTTATTTCATACAAAGCATGTCATGTAGCCTTATTTTTTAGCTGTATTCTCTATTTTCCTTTGATGATATTCTTGTTTGATTTTTTAAAATCAGTTTTCGATGTGGTTTTTCCGCATCTAAATATACACTTTTAAGTTGGAGTTTGTATAAGCTTAAATATTTCAATTGTTTCAAATTGGTACTTGAAGATCGTATCTCTTGTATTTTCTCATATTTGTTCATCATTTGTTTTTTTTTAAGGAAAATTATCTAATATGCAATTGTTTTCGAATCTCATTTCATTAATCAATTCCTAGATTTCCGATAGGGTTCTTATTGAAAGCTTTACGTTTTTTGGTATGTTTTCTTGTAATTTATCAAGTTTTTAGTTATGAATGGTATTCATTGTTATTTTAGTCCAAAGTTGTCATTAAATACCGAAAAGGAGCTTGTGAAAATTGTGGAGCATTAACACACAAGAAGAAAGAATGTGTAGAGAGACCCAGAAAGGTTGTGGCAAAATTCTCCGGAGCCAATATTGCTCCTGATGAGTACATCCAAAAAAATTTCTCATTGAGTTTCGATGGAAAACGAGACAGATGGAGTGGATATGATCCATCAGAGCATAAAACTGTCATTGAAGAATTCCAGAAAGTTGAAGAGGCCAGGAGACATTTGAAAGCTGAGAAACTGAATGCTGAGGAATCGGAAGATGAAGAAAAGAACGAGGACAAATATGTAGATGAGGTTGACATGCCAGGAACAAAAGTGGATAGCAAACAGCGGATCACAGTAAGGAACCTGAGGATAAGAGAAGATACTGCAAAATATCTGAGGAATTTGGACCTTGGCTCAGCGTATTACGATCCAAAGACCAGGTCTATGAGGGAAAATCCAAATCCTAATAAAGATAATATGTAAGTCAAATGATCCTAATTTTGAAATGTTTCAGTTTATTTGAATGGTCAAAATTGTGTTTTTTTTCAAGGCTCTACTTGGGCAGAGCCATGTTTTGACAATTTCTTTTTAGTTCATTTTGAGTTCTCCTTTTTTGTATCGATTCGACATCCACTTGGATACTTTTGATGTTCTATTATTGAATGATTTTCATAATATTCATCATAGATTTTCTTGATTAGAGGGCTTACTAATTCTTCAATGGATGATAGCAATGAAACTAAATATGTTGAACAACTCCATTGGAATATTGGGTTGTTGAAAACGCATTTTAAATGACATTTATTGTGAAAATTCTATAATTGCTATCAAGAATATTTATATTTTTCTACAGAAATGTAAACTGATATTTGTAAGATGCCTGTTGATTAGTAAATAAATTATTGTTGCTATTTCACTTACCATGGAGAGAATTTCGTTCGATTTTCTGGTGACAGTCAAAATCATGCCAAAGCCCAATTGTTTGCTTGGGAAGCATATGAAAAAGGAGTCGACGTCCATTTACTGGCTGAGCCGACGAAACTTGAGCTACTCAGAAAAGAGTATGAGAAAAAAAAAGAACAAATCAAGACCAAAATTCAGAGCAATGTTCTGGAACGATATGGAGGTGAGGAACACTTACAAGAACTTCCCAGGTGTCTGCTGCTCGCTCAAACCGAATGTTATATTGAATACTCAAGATCAGGCAAAATTATCAAAGGGGCTGAGAAGGAGGTGATCAAATCCAAGTATGAGGAGGACGTTTACATAAATAATCATACTTCAGTTTGGGGATCGTATTGGCATGGAGGCCAGTGGGGCTATAAGTGTTGTCATTCATTTATAAAAGTAAGTAAAATCAAGTTCACTGTTATAAATGTGGGGTGAAAGTAACCCAAAAGTGATTATTCATTGTTTAGAGGTTTCAAAGTTCATGATGCAATTATAAATGATTACTTTTCTGTATAATAATGCTTTTCACTATTTTGATTGCACTATAGCCTCCGAGTCAGTTGAACCTTTGAAACCCTCAATTAACCATCTAGCTAATATTTGTCAAATTTTTGTTAAATAAAACATGATCGAGAGTTAAAGAAATGAGAAGCTCTTGTTTTTGATAAGATCATACTGGAAGAACAGATTGATTTAATCAATTGTACATGACATTATTTTCATTAATTTTGATTATTGTAAGATGCTCTTAGAAGTAAGTTCACTTTGATTGTTATTCCTGTAAATAAAACTATTTTCTATTCTATTTGTAGAAACAATTGATTATTAATTTGATACAAAATCATAGGATTACTTTTCAGTGAATTTTATAAATAAGAGCAAGTGTTAGATTCTTAGAGGCAGTAGTCGGATGCACAGATTTATGACTCATGTGTGAAGATCTATGACCATACTGTAGTATCATATAATTTTAGTTATTTTATGTAACAACTAAATTCAAATTTTTTTTCCAGAATTCCTTCTGCCTTGGACAAGCCGTTAGAAATTCGGAGATTGTTAAGCCTCACGAGCTGCCAGAAAGTAAAGGTGATGTGAGCGAAGATATACCTGATGATAAGAAAGGGAATAGTGATCGAGATGAGAGCAGCTCCAGTTCATCGGACGAAAAATCTAAAAAGAAGGAACAGAAAAAAGAAAAGAAAAAACTCAAGAAAATGAAGAAGAAACTGAGGCAAGAAAAATACATAACCAACAAAATGGAAGAAACAGAAGAAATCATGGATGAGAGAAAACGACCGTATAACAGTATGTATGAGGTGAAAAAGCCCACGGAAGAGGAGATGGAACAATATTTCAAGAAGCGAAAGAGGGATGACGATCCAATGAATCAGTTCTTGTAGATAAATAGTTGTAAATATTCTGTAATAAATTTTTATAGTTTTCATAGCTCGTCATTTCATTCTCAACAAAATGAAAAAAAGGTAAAAACAATTTTATTCAAATAAAGAGTGGAGATGAGGCAGATATCAATATGAACATAAGAATACTACTCAGATGAGCATAGTACTAATCAGACAAACTCTCTTCCAGGTGGGTTCAACGCACAACAACTCGATCGCGATTCAATTATCCTTAGATTCAGTGAGGAATACTCGACGCTAATAACAATAGCCGCCGGTTAGTTTTTGGGGGCCCCCATGCAAAAATTCAGTTAGGAATAGTCATGACAAAACATAAACCGATCGCGAAAGAATATCACCTAAAGGCTTACTTTCGACCAAAGGAGTGATTTCTAGCACAGAAAGCAATAGCTTCTTCAGACAAGTCTGAATGTATAACTACCACTGTCTCATTGAATGCAGTCATTTGTCACACTAATAACGAGATTTACAGAAAAGGCATATTTGGGATGGCATTACAATCTTTTGGAAAAATAATTCATAAATTTGGATGGTGTAGAGCATACCGCTAATATCAATAAATATTTTTCGAATTATAAATACTCCGTCCCTTACTTGATGAAAATTATTAACGCTATCCATGATAGTAATTGGAATTGGAGTTCCAGTACACGGTAGCCCCATCAGTTACTGGAGTTCCAGTAACTGATGAAGCTACCATGTACCAAAACGCATTTTAAATGAAATTATTATCATGGATAGTCATATTTTTCGGTTACAGAAATGTGAATTGAAATTTGTAAAATCTGACGTCTGTTGATTGATAAATAAATTATTGTTGCTATTTCAGTTACCATGGAGAGAATTTCGTTAGATTTTCTGGCGACACTCAAAATCATGCCAAAGCCCAATGGTTTGCTTGGGAAGCTTATGAAAAAGGAGTCGACGTCCATTTACTAGCTGAACCGACAAAACTTGAGCTACTCAAAGAAGAGTATGAGAAAAAAAAAAGAACAAATCAAGACCAAAATTCAGAGCAATGTTCTGGAACGATACGAAGGTGAGGAACACTTAGATGTACCTCCCAGATGTCTGCTGCTCGCTCAAACCGAAGATTTTATTGAATATTCAAGATCAGGCAAAATTATCAAAGGAGCTGAGAAGGAGGTGATCAAATCCAAGTATGAGGAGGACGTTCACATTAATAATCATACTTCAGTTTGGGGATCGTATTGGCGTGAAGGCCAGTGGGGCTATAAGTGTTGTCTTTCATTCATCAAAGTAAGTAAAATCAAGTTCACTGTTATAAATGAGGGGTGGATTTAATCCAAAACTGATTATTCATTGTTTAGAGGTTTCAAAGTTCATGATGCAATTATAAATGATTACTTTTCTGTATAATAATGCTTTTCACTATTATGATTGCACTATAGCCTCCTAGTCAGTTAAACACGTGAATCCCTCAATTAACCTTCTAGCTGATATTTGCTGAATTTTTGTTAAAGGAAACAAAGCTTTCTACGATGAGTGGACGCACGGTATATCGAAGGTTCCCTTGATGACACTCGGAGTCATACATCATTTCGCACAGATACACACACCTTTGGAATTAGATAGCCCTTCAGGGGTATTCTAATGATTCCTGTTGTAGGGTGGTACAAAAATAGTTGTTTTCACAAATAGTGAACTGTGGACAAAAGTACCACATATGTACATTTTATATCATGATTATAAATTTCAATTCAAAATGGCTATCTGATCTTTCTCGTACTGGAATATTTCAATTGTCAGAGATCGGAGTTGGAATATGGAAGAGACAATTATAGTGGATCTAGAACCTTACTCTGTTGAAGAATATATGTGAGAATAGATATTCTTACGAAGTGAACCTGCAAGGAGAAAAAGACTTTATTCATTTTAATATTTTAGTTCATAAAAATGCCTTTAATGTTCTAACCCTTACAAATAATTATCTTCAAGTTCCTAGAATGATCCAATCAATTGTATCTGACACTATTTTCAATAATTTTGTAAGATGCTCTTAGAGTTAAGTTCACTGTGATTGTCATTCCTGATAATTGAGCTATCTTTAGTGAATTTTATAAATAAAAGCAAATCATTGAAATGTCAGATTCTTAGAAGCAGTAGTCGGATGCACAGATTCGTGACTCATGTGTGAAGATCTATTGAGCATATTGTAGTATCATATAATTTTAGTTATTTTATGTAACAACTAAATTCAAATATTTTTTCCAGAATTCCTTCTGCCTTGGAGAAGCCGGTAAAATTCGGAGATTGCTAAGCCTCACGAGCTGCCAGAAAGTGAAGCTGATGTGAGCGAAGATATATCTGATGATAAGAAAGGGAATAGTGATAGAGATGAGAGCAGCTCCAGTTCATCGGACTAAAAAGAAGAAACAGAAACGAGGAAAGAAAAAACTCAAGGAAATGAAGAAAAAACTGAGTTAAAAAAAACAATATTTCGCGAAGCGAAACAGGAATGAAGATCCGATGAATCAGTTCTTGTAGATACATAGTTGTGAATACTCTGTAATACAGTTCTTTAGTTTTCATAGCTCGTCGTATCATTCCCAATAATAATTTTTCACACCTTTTCAGCCTCCCTAAGATATCTTAATGATATCTAGCAAGTCCACTGAGGAAAATCTAGGAATGTAATAAAATCTGAGTTCAATATCCATATATTTGAGCAACAACAAATTGGAATGTTACTTGATGATATTTTTTGAATTGTTTAGGTAAGAGCTAGCTTACAGTATGTTTTTGGTATATCAAAACATTTGTGACGATTATTGCACAGAAAAAATGAAATATAACCCACTTTGTGGTAGGTGCCATTTTCTAGGTGGTAATAGTGAATAAAAACAATTAAGATAAATTGAACCTTCATTAATGTATAGATTACAATAGGCCACAAGAAGTTACAATACATGTTCAAACAGGTGTAAAATGCAAATAAAAGTATATACACATATATAATAAATACCAGACATTACAGTTTATCTTCCACTTACAATAATAAAATTTATATTAATATATATACAATATTTTATTAGTTGTCAAAAATTAAATACTTGTTACTTCTAAAATGACCCCTAATACAAATAGTATTCATGGTAAAAACATTCACACCGTATTTTACAGCACATCCAAAATATATGAGTAGTTGCTTTTCCCAAAAGGAAATACATAACTACACAAAAGGCATTCCTTGTGGAGAAATCAAAGTCTTTATTGATCTTTTGTAGGACTTTCCACAATCTGAAAAAAAAATCATCGGAAATTTTTGTAGTTCACTTCGATAAGTTATGCGTAAATTCAATATATTTTTCTGGAAGAACTTTTTAGTAACTTGTTATATTTGATAATTTTGTCTTAGAAAAAATCGTTAACAACTTTATTGTGTACTTATCTGTGGTACGTTTCCAGTAGTTCTTTGGGGGTAGTTCGTAATTGCCTCCCTGTCTTGAAGAAAGTGTCAGAATGGCAACAAACTGATATCAAAGCCTTGTACTTTATCGAATATTTAGAGTCAATCAACAACTTTGACACTGGATTTTTCAAATTTTCTTTGGCATCATGTTATTTGAAAAGAGAACTGCTAAATATAGCTGATTTTCAGTTCTGAAGACGGACGCAGATTTAGTTCATCGAAACGTAATGATAAATACACTATGTTCTTAGTTCTTTTTTTCGATAGGCAAAATTATTAAAAACAATATGTTATTGATACACAACATTTTTCTTTGAGAAAAATATTTTGAATTGAGTCAGTAGCTCATGGGAGTAAACTAGAAATTTCTAATTCTATAAATCATTATACAGTTCTTCGTTAAATTTTTTTTTTCGGATTTTGGAAGATGAAAATTTCCAGAAAGGGTCAATTGAAAAATTCAGTTGCATAGTTATATCACTGCCACCGATAAAAAAACTCTTGAATGAATTCTCAAAAATGGATTGTAGACGAGAAATCAATAGGCAAAAAGATCAACTACGTTTTGTTATTTGGGTATTCTAGTAGTATAATTTACTGAAAATCTATGACGACCCTGGGAATGCTGCGAGAGAGGGTGAGGGAGATCAAAAAATGTTTTTATTGTTTCTGCTATTTCGCAGAAAATATTGGTTCTTTGAAAAAAAAATACGCATATAAATTGTAGCTAACAAATTCTCCTACAATTTTTATTTCCTTATCTCCAAGTGATTGAGTCTTATACTATCCTTAAAATTTTTAATTTCAGAAAAAACTTTGCAACCTCCTGCAACAAAAAGTTCCCCAAAGAAAAGGTTGTAGAGATTTCAATTTTCTTCAATGAAAGAGCTCAGGTGAATACTTTTTTGTGAATTTACTGAAGTTATGCTCAATAAATTCTTCAATAGGCTTTTCAAATCTGTCTATAAATTGGTTCAGTCTCTTCTATCATAATGTCGTAAAAGACAACCCGACAGAGGCCACTTGCTTCGTCGGTTTGTCAGATGAGGGAAGAACAGTGACTTTTTCCTTTCCCCCTCCTGAAAATGGAACGAAAATGAATAAAAATTAGTGAAGGAATAAATTTTATGCTATCAACTTTCTATATATAATTCGTTAACTGAAGTATTATGAAAAATATCAATATTGGAAAGGGCTATTGCGCAAGGTGCTGCTGCAAAACTCAAAAAACAAAGAAAATGTGATTTTGAGTTTGAAACCATTGTCGCTAGGTGGTGGGGCAAAACTCTAGGAAAACATATAAACGGTTGCACTGCATAAAATTTTACGGTATTTGCATGAAAATTCCCTCATAATGCATGTTATGAAATTATTGTTGGTGGAATTGAATAATGCGTTATTTGTACTAGACCGATATTCCACGACAAAGAGTTTTCAATGTTGACCATGTGATATTTGTGAAAAGTAGAGAAGCGTTTGCCCTTTGTCTGAAAAGATTTTCGTTCGTAAACCCCGATTTTTCCAACAAATAATGATAAATTGTGTAATGCGCGCAGATGAAGAGTAGGTCAGTTCGGTTTGTAGATATTGATTGAACTATCAATATTTAAATATTAGTAATTGCGATTATTTTTGTTTTTTGATTATCGTTTTTTAAATTTACTCTGTGGGATTATTCGCTAATTTTGTACACTTGATAAAAGCCGTTATTTGTAATTTTGACCACACACATTTGTAGAGATGAATAATAAAGAATAAGTGGTTTTCTTATTATAAGCACATGACCATTTTCTGATAAATGATACTTTACAATACCTTTTGGATTCACAATTATAAAGAACTAACAGGAGATAATTGCTAATAGGAATAGTATTCTAGGTTTTTCTCTCAGAGTGAAATCGTCCCTGTCAAAGTGTTCTCATCAAACACACAAATTTTTTGATTGGTTCACAGATAATTTTTAGTTTATTAACTTTTTTGGATCTTCATATTTCTGTACATGAATATTATGCTAGTTAATGAAACACCAAATAATTGAATGTTTGTGACTACGATGTCTCAGTCGAAATACCTCAGATGTCACACCCAACTCGTCAAATCCATATCCATTTTTCAGAAATAATTTCAACAAAAAAATTGAAGACACTATGATGTATAATACTCGAGACATTTATGCGTGAACATACTCGAAGTGGCGAGTCTATAATTGTATAAAATATTCTGACTTTTTTGTAGGTGCCCAACATTTCAACTCGAAAAAACCAAAGTGACTTTTTACGGTGGCCTCACTCTTCCTCAATATATTCAATATATAATAATTACATCGAACAATCACAACAAAAATTAACAGCCCTCTCCTCCCACACCCACAGCTCCTTGAGGGAGATCGGCAAACCTCGCACCCCCACTATAGTTCCCGGCGCTGCCGCGACGCATCTATTCTTTCTTCTTTTCAAAATCTTCACCGTAAACGATCTAGGCTTGCACTGGTACATTCCGAACCAGCACTTCTTTGTTAAGCACTCGACCGTTCGAAGATATCTCGGAAAGTAGTCTAGCCCCAAGTCGATCCACTTCACTTCCGATAGGCACTGCCATTCCTGCTTGTAATTTATGCCCCTCTTGTACCTGGAAAAAAACAAATTCGATAAGGGAAAACGCACATAATGTTTATAAAAAGCGGCAAATAATTAGCTAACTGGACTATATATAGTAATTTATAAAACAACGGATAAATTCAATAAAATATTTGACATTGTTACCACCCTTGAAGGGTGTGATACCATTTCTTGAATGGAGATGCACAATTACTGCAGTAGGACAATCCTCTTTGAGCCGTGGATTGGATACATTAAATCTGAATCGCTGTAGATACGTTATTCGAAAAAGTTCTTGATGCCTACATAAATGTTGATGAAAAGTGCGCCGAGAAGAGTGTTGCAGTTCTGGTGTTGTAAAGCAATGCTTTTGGATTTATTTTACGCCAGAGGTTCCAGCTCTACCTTTCAGCATAGTGATATTCAATTTGTTACAGGCAATGCAACTTTAAATTAGTTCGGACTTCCATTGTAAAAAATGATATTTGAAATCTCTGCAGGAAAAAATAAAATTGAAAAGTTCTTTCAGGGATTTCAGATCATATTAGATAGTGGAAGTCCGAACCAATGAAATTCAATATGAAACATTGTCAACCACCTTCAAAAAAATGCAACCTTGTTGCACACACTTTACTTGTGGGAGACTAATAATTTTAGATAAGGTTTCGGAAGTGCCTTTTTCAAAATATTCGCTAAATTTTCAAAAATAGAGTTTTCATCGTCAGTCAAGTCATTATCAGTTTTTAGGTTTACATTCCGTATATTTTTTGTTTTGTTACATAGTTCCGATAATATATGCCACGACTTATACAAATCTAATAGTTACAAATAATAGAAAATAAGGGCATTCGTTTTTTTAATTGAAATTAAATTTCACAATATTATTATCAAAACACCTCTCCTACCTTTATAAAAAAAACTATAACTTATTATCGTGATGTTCATGATGTGAATATAAGGCGTGCAATGATCTGTTGTCAATCACTTCTGGGGGCACTTTATCGAACGATTCAGAAGGTCATTTACATACCCAAAAACCGAATTCAAAGATAACCTACCTCTGTACTTCCAATCGAAATCTGTTTTCAGTCTCAGTTACTGCCCGAACAATTAATAATAACCCCGGTTCTTATGCCACACTAAATAATTTTAGCTTAGCAAAAATATTTGTCCCAGTAATCTCCCTTTTATATTTCAATGAGATGTTGAACCTGCCATTAAAGTCCAATATTGTATCCTATTAAAAAATTATTTTTTCATTACTGTATCATGTATATTCCTAGTAAAAATTCATTTATTATTATCATTATTATTATCATATTTCTATGGTTGGGCTTTGTTCACGAAATCCCGTTACTTTTGGGCGCACCAGCTTTATCAACCAGTGATCATTCTTCATAACATGAGGTAAGTGTTAATTGGGTCAACAAAAAAAGATTTCTGTCTCAAAGCGGAAAGCCGATATGAACTTGAGATTCGACAGCATTCTAAAAAGGGCCCCAATATTTACAACAACCATCTTGACAGAGCGGTCTGGAAAGAGTATGTGAAGTTCGGACGATTATCCCTTATCCCTCTCCCCGGAACCCCAACACATTCGGGAGGGCGCGCCAGCATTATCAACCAATAATCATTTCCCACACCGTGGGGTAAGTGATCAATGGGTCCGAGAATCATGTACCGTAAGCAAGCGCAGTAAGCCAAGAACGACAGCCTCCTGCATTTGTTCGCCTGAGGTTTCTGCCATAGTTCGACCAGCCGGCATGATCTTGAGATTAAACCAAAGACGCCAATAATCAAAGTGGTCCGGATAAAGTATGTGGAGATCAAAGAGAAAATCTCGATATTCGTCTCGCCAGGAGCTGAAATCTCCACGGCAAATATCGTCTTGCTCTGATGGTCGAGAAGAATCACAGCTGACTTATATTAGCTTGCATGAGCCTAAGAATTTTGGATGAATAGTTTCAATAAATTCAGAACTTCTCGTTCGCCATAACGGATTAAATATTATCCTACGAAGCGTAGGGCAACATCGGTGTTTCGCCAATACCGTAAAAGTGCCGTAGGTGGTCATGAAGCACTCTTAGGGCCACGTTATGTCTATTAATATATGCTGAGACCGCATATGTTGGACATGCTGACGGCATTACGATCTGCGGCAGGCCCTGCACCTTTTGTCAGGAGCCTCTATAATCATCATGCGACTGCGGTAGTTTAAGGTATTGAAGATACCATCCTGACAGGCCCATGCTGAATCCTTCAGTTTCCGACTTCGGCCCTCTCGACCTGCGGAATGTGAAGGCCAGGCGCTTCGATGAGCTGAGGTCTCCAATGTTGTTGAAGAATAGTGACAGAGAGTGGTGATCACCCCGTTTAGCTATTATTATTATTATTATAAATTGCTGCCATTAGATTTGAAACTGATAAAACACCAATTCAATGACTTCCCGGAACTTCGAAGTACACTTTTGAGGGCCATGATGTTCCATCTGAGTGACATTTCATATCAATATTTGATATATCATATTGTGAAACGTTCCTATGAATGATATCTGTTTCAATTCCATATCAATTCCAAAATTAACGGAAAAAAATATTTTCGTGTAATTCAATGTTAAAAGGTAGTTGTTTCGGAAGAACTTTTACATTCAGTGTGAATATGAAAAAACTTCTGTGTGTGCTATTCAAATCTTTATAGTTGTTGTTTTTTTTCCTTCTTTAGAAGTATATCACATATTTTTGTTTATATTTTCATTCATTCTGTTCAGTTTTATATTTTGTCAATATAATTTTAAAAAAATCATATAGCATAACCGCACTCTAGAATGGAAAAAAATTGGCCCATGAGGGGATCGAACCCGCGACCTTCGCGTTATTAGCACGACGCTCTAACCAACTGAGCTAATGGGCCAGTTGTACATAAATGCTCATCAACTTTTCATGAAGAAAAAAGAAGTGATTTAAAAATAGTTCATTCCTTTTTTTTATTAAATTTCAGTTATTAAACGAATATTTCCCATCCAAATCTGTTTTTCGTTAAATGTATGAATTAACTGAAAAATATCAATATTACTTGATTACCAAAGATGTATTAAAGTACAAATGTATCCCGAAAAACGTCACACAAGACGGCTACGAATGTACATGTACAAGCAGAAATGAATAGAACCTAAAATGCATAGAATATCCCGGGTGTGATAGTGTGATCACTTAGAACCCTCCCCCCATATAGAATATTTTGTCATAAACTCTCGACAACTCTTGGTAAATAAATGATGAAGAGATCCAATAAATTTCAGCATTGGATTCAAAGAGGCACTTCCATTTTAAATGTTGTTTACATTTAGGAATGAATTGATTTGGAGTGAAAAATATTTTTCACATTACGGTCCATACACTGAAGTTCTGCGTAGAATATGTGCGACAGATTTCGATTTTTACACCATCTATCAATACGTGTATAAAGTTCAATCAATCTATTTCTTGCGTCGAGAGTTTTTGACAAAACAAAGGCGAATTTGTTAAAACACTAGGTTTCCATGCATCTTTCTTAGTTTATGAGTTCTGTGATTTCTCGCGTCGAAAGTTTTTTTGACGAAACAAAAGTGAATCGGTAAAACAGCAGGGTTTCTAAAGATCTTTGTAAAACTTCATTTCAACTAACAACTACGAGCTATATGTTATATCGGAAGTATATATAAAGAAAATTTGTGACGGTGTGCTTCTAGTGATATGATTGTGGTTGGAGCGATATTTTCATTTATGCACGTACTAAATTCTAAGGTAAGAATGATTTTTTTGTATTTATCTATCTGCCATTCTTAGTGTTCCTGTTGACCAGTTTGGTTTTGCTGCTTTATGACAACCAGGACACTATTCTTTTCTCGAATATATACTTACATGTGTAATTTAGATTTATGCAAAACCAATGCGGAAACTCAAAAGGCCGGATTCTTTGTGGGTGACTTTTTTGCAGTAGGTACTTTGTAGATCTGCAAGTCAGCAAATTATTCTTAAGTGTACCTAGGTAGTGAATAAATATCTGAATAGGTAGTGAATAATGATCTGTAGGACATTGTTGCTGTGCGTACAAAAATTGTATATTCTGATAATAGGAAATCTTGCAGATCGACAAAAAATATAAATTTTGTCCTCTAGAAGACGCCACATTTTTGAAGTAACATGTTTTTGAAGAAATAGGTATTTTTTCAATTCAGAACAAGAACTGACGTATCAGTTCAGCTGTTCATTTGTTTAAACATGTCTTTCCCGTCTTATGCTTTCCTACAACCTAGCTACAAGATTTATTTCCAATTTTATCAGTAATATGGAAATTTCCTATAACAACAGGGTGAAAGTCGATATTTTTTTTCGGAAATGTGTGACATAGTGAATTTTTTTGAGCTCGACGATTTCTTTTTCACATATTTTTGATTTATACGAAATTGACGATACGACCTTTGCTGCAAGATGGCGGTGTAAAACTCTTGGAAAACGAACATACCAAAATGACGTTTTGTATTGAAATTTCAACAAGATGATAATGGCAAAATTATGTATGTATATCAAGTTGACGAGACACTTTTCGAAATTTGCAAAACGAATGATTTCACAATTTGCCGCTATTTATTCGCTAATTAGTTGCGGAAGAAAATATTTTTTCGCCCCTTTTTTTTTAAAAAAATACATGTCTCGCTAACTTGATATCAAGTTAGCGATACTTTTTCATTATCAAGTTTTCTAGAACTTTGACTATAACATTGGTTTGATATATTTAGTTGCGTTGGAAAATATTTGATTTACCATTTGTTTTATAACATTCATAGTCTCGCTAACTTGACATCAACTTTTTATTATTGAATTTTTGAGAACTTCAACCAAACTATTTCCTTTTCCTTATTTTGAACACACATTTGAGTTTCCTGCAATTTTGATATTAGTCTAGTTGTCGGTCAGATTAGGATACCACAAACTCTCATTCCGGAACAAACCAACAATCTCAGCTCTATACAGAATCTACCTTGAGGCAGG